TACCCTATCAGTCCCTAGTGCTTTATTAGTGCTTAATACTTTTACAATGTCTTCCACTTCTTTGTCTATTAGCAGAGGCTCTAAATCTATTTTGTTGGTTTCGTAATATTGCTTAACACAAGCTCTGGCATTTCTTTCTGCAAGATTATCTGCGGGGGAGGGGGACGTTTATTTTACAGTTATCATAGCTAGGAACTTGTCCACGTTCGTTCAGGTCAACGCCATCTTATAGGAGTGGCTGAAGTATCTCAGACACTGACATTTAAAACAACTTACAATCTGAAAAAAATTTTCTGAAAGCACAAGAGCTAAATCCTATGAGAATTTTTCTATGTTCCTCAATATCCTCGTACAGATTCTGCTGTAGATTGGCGATCCATCTTAGGACAGTATTTGTGCCGTGCGAATAGGCTTTCTAGAGGGCATTTATTCTTCACTTGCTGAGAGCATAAAGCCCGCAAAAGCCTCGCATATATCGAATGATGTATCGAACGTGGGAGTTCCAAATTAGATTATGGAAGACTTCTTGAATGAAAGTGGCTGCTGAGAGAGAGAGAGCTTTTACTCAATTGCTTTCCTGAATGTTTCTGTACATTTTCTTTCACTAATTAAAAGTCCTTTAGATCATTTGGTTCGCATTTCTTGAACAGTGATGCGCAGTTTTCTCCCACTAAACTCAGAAGTCAATTGAGTTTTGATTTGATGAGAAATCCTATCTGCTTCTCTTGCTTTTAATAAGATCACGTGTTTCGACGCATGCTTGGTTGTTCCGCAGCATGTGCTTTTCTCTTTCTCTTTCTGATTTCAGTTAGACTAAATGAAGTTTCTTCTCTTTCCACCTGTTCTGGAAGGTTTTCTGGTGAGACTGGAGCAATTTTAGAGTTCTTATCGTTTTCGCTAATTTGCTGTTGTAGCAGCTGAATGTTTCCTTGCAAACTTGTACAGTAAATACAGTAAACTTCTTGTTCTGCGAACGTATTTCGGATAGTGATTTAATGTCACCAAATAAAAATAAAATCCCCTAATAAGGTTAATGACTAAGGAAATTGCCAAGTGGCAGAGATGTGTATCGAAATAAAGCATTAAGTCGCCAAGCAACTTGATTTTGATTGAAGGCAACATTTATGTCTCGTCAATTGGAAAGAATCAGATTAAGAGAAGACAATAAAGAGTTGTTTAATCTTTTAATGAATGATGAAATAAAGAAAGCTCAATAACTAAAAATATCCCTAAATAACATGACTTGTGAGACGTTTAATGCTTAAGTGAGTATTGATAAACAAACCTCAAACTGCAGTATCAATGGCAATAGAAGATATATGCCAAGCGTTTTGTGAAACAAAATCCAGTAAATCGAATGTGTTAAACTCTACGAAGTAGAAGGTGATGAAATTGGTTAAATTTCTGCAAATATTCAAATCAGCAATGTCCTATTGAAATCTACAATATTAAAATTAGGGATATAGCATCGAAAAAATAATTTCCAGAAGTACTATTAATAAGAACACTCCATAAATGAACTTTTGCGTGACAGCTGGAGACAATCAGCATGACGTTTTTTCCGCTGTGAAACACAGTGAAAGTAAACAATTATATGTTCCTAGTAATATTTATAATAAATGAGTTGAATTACATTGATATTTTGAAGAATATTTTTTTCATCGCTTAATGTTTCAGTTAATGCGTTTAAAAAAGCCATGGACACGCATGATCTTATTTAGCGGCACCTACTGTAGTAATTTCACCTGGTAATTCTGATTTACATCTTATTGAAGAACTGCCAGACATCTTATAAAGCAATATAAATAAGCCGTACATATGTGTGTGCATGTGTGCATATTAAAAATGAACATAAACAAGGTTAATTCAAATCATATTCACATTGGAATAATGGAGTCATTTTGAAATGCACATTACTGTTACGGATTTTGTATTAAATTAGCTATTTTTAATAGAATTATAATTAAAATTGTTTTATATCTGCGAGCAATGCCGCGCGGGACATAAAGCTACGCCAGAAAAGTAAAAATACAGCACGCGCATTCGACATTTAATAAATAAGTATTTCGTAATTTATAATTAAATTGAATAAATGCAATTAACTACTGTGTTAGCTGTATTCTATTTTTTTGCTTTCCAGAAATCTCGAGAAGCAGAAATTACCAGTAATTTCTCGCGACCGATTAAAAAGCTTTAAAAAGCCGGAGAGAGACATCTCAGCTCAATAGTTGTTTAGTTAATTGCTGTTATTGTTGATGATCAGATTAGCTTTCTCTGCGTTGTGAATTGCGTTCCGTTTAACTTTTTAGTAGTTTAAAATATAGCTACTGGTTATATTGCGTGATATTGTGATATTGTACCAATATCCTAAAGGAAAATTCCAGCGTTCTATTATATTTCTTTTGATAAGAATAAATTTTATTAATCTTTTATTGGACTTGTGCATTCAATTTATTGCGAACCCGTATACAAGCAACAATACTATTGTAAAGAATTAAATGAGACTTGTAAAAGAATAAATAAATTTTATGTTAAAATTACAACAGGAAATTATACAGCAAATAAATAAAAGCAAATGAACTTTCCAATGCATCTTCTTCAAGAGGTTAATTGAACGAGAGAGAAAACAAAAAGCCTGTTTTTAAATCGATAGATGTACAAACATATTAATAAACAAAACAACATGATTCAAATCAAGTTAAATTAAATAAATCAATATTCATGCATTTCCAGTCCAACTCCTAAAGGCTGAATAAGAAACAGAACATTGCCCAAATCCAAAAAAATGTAATAAAATATAAAATAGAAGCGAACCCAAAATTTAAAGAATCATTGGATTTAAAGAATCATTAATTTTAATGAAATGTGTTATATTTAGTAAACAATGCAAAATAACTCAGTATATAACCTGTAACAAATAAAAACAATTCATGAAAGAAATTTATAGAAGAGACACCAATATTTTATATTAAGAACAAAAAACATGATAATTTTTACATGAAATTCTAATTTAAAAAATACTTAATGTTATGTAAAATAAACACAAATTCTGATAATAAATTAAGAAAGCTTTGTATGATTAACAATAAGCTGCATTCGACATACTGGGAAAAAATATAAAAAAAAATATAAGTAACTAACCTTAACACATACTAACTATAAAGGGTAATTTTTATGATAACAATAAAATAATAACTTGAAGAATTAGAGTAAAACTTTAATGTAAATAAACAATAAATATGTGTAAACAATAAATATTAATGTAAATAAATAATAAATATGTGTAAAACAATAAATATGTGTAAACAATAAATATTAATGTAAATAAACAGATAAACAATATATTGTATTAAGCGAAAAAATTTTTTCATCTCAAATTTGTAGACGTTTAGCCTACTACAAGTTGGAAGCATGTCAAGGGATTCGCCGTAGGATTCAAAGAATTTGTAGTATTTTTCATATAAAAGTATATATAGTAATTTATATTTAAAAGAAAAGGTGGCATGAAGACGAAATAGACTGAGCCTTGATACAGATCATAGATTTCACTAGCGGGAAACCTTAGTTATTTCAAGAGAAAAAAAGAAAAAGAAACACAATCATTAAACAACTCATTCAAAATTATTAAAAAATGTTAAGACTTTTGAACATAATGTCTAATTCAACTCTGATAGCATATCCAGTCTATACCACATCATAGGTTTGGGTATAGCCTTTCATGAACATCAGCAGTTCAACAGTGCAATTTAGATATGCAAGAGTAATTCGGCTAGTTGCTTTTTAATAAATTGATGTGGAATTTCATTACCTTTAAGTATTTCAAGTAATCATTTTTCTTCTTTTAAAACTTTTTGACTTTCAGTAGATATTTTCCTAGTTATGGTTGTTTCTCGTTTACATTTGCCTCCGCACCGACCTCCTGAAGACGATGCACAGGGAGATGTTAAATTTATTAGCCTTTATTACTTTTTAAAATTCTTTTGAGGTAATTTTTGCATGAAATTTGTTTATCTTTTCACACGGTTTATTTTGAGATTTTGGAAGAGGTCTCGTGGAGTTTTTTAAAATAGTATAGTACATTTCCAAAATAATTTCGTTATTCCAATGTGAATATAATTTGGATTTACTTGTTTATGTTTATTTTTAATAAATGCCGCTGCCCATTTATTGCAGCTTGCAGCCCATGGTTGGGTTCTGGATTTAAACTTATTTTATTCTGCGTTTAAATTTACGTATATATATATACATCGCATAATAAATATATATACATATGTTATTAATATTTACTCTAGCACCTTTATTTAAGGACATATAAGTGCATCTTGAAATGTGTGCGAACTATCAATACTGTTTCTCGGAAGGAAAAATCTTAAAATACAGAAAGGCATTAAAATCGCCTTTATTGCAGGCAATCTATTAATATTATAATCTATTAATACCAAATCCATTAATATCAATCTATTAATATATATTATATTAATATATAATAGAAATTATATTAATAGAAAATAGATATAAATATCTATTAATATCAGACAATCTATTAATATTAATCATAATATAATATCTGTTAATATCAATCTACTATATATATATATATATATATATATCATTTCCATATTCTAATAATATCGGGCGAGCGGTAAAGTTGCTGAACACTGGTAGCTCGGTCCGAGGTTCGAGTCCCGCGAACGGGCTGCATGCACGGGCGTTTTCATGGTTTTCCTCATTTGTAGCGTGTACACGAGCCAGTTTCCCTTAAGAAGCTCCCCACGATGCCATCCCCTCCCTTAGCCAGATAGCCTCCGATGGTTTGCCGTAATCACATAAACAAGCAAACAAAACTATTAATGTTGCTTTTCAATATTAAAAATAGGCTTATCCATAAAATATTTTTGATTTATAAAGAACTTTAAATTGCAATTTTTTTTATACCTACGCAATATTGAAAAACTTTTCGGATTGAAAATTATAACATGAATACAAAAAGAAATACTTACAGGTCCCGCACAATTCAGAATAAGTCTTGCTACCTTACACATATTAAAAACAGATGATTTATCTTGTGCATCTGCTATTATGATTGGTATTCTACAAATGTCAATGCCTGGAAGTAAATGGGAAACAAAATGGACTTTTGAATTTTTTTTTCTTTATCTACTGGTTATCCATAAAAAGTAAAGTAATTATTAAAACTGAAGCCATTAAATAGGGATTATAACTTACAAAATGCATAGAGTGTCCCAGGTATAAGTAACTCAAGACAAATCGAGATGCATGTTACTTTTGAGCTGGGCTGATATTTTTTTGCAATTGAGTTTTATTAATTATAAGATAATAGATACAGTAGGCCTCACTTAATTGTGATCACATTTGCCCACGGTTATTTTGATAACATTAACCGAATGATAGCATTAAACGATGGAAAAAAACATCTTTCAAAACAGTAATGGAATTTAATCAATTTAATGTAAATATAGGCAAAAATATATAAAAATGTACTTTCGAAGCATTTTAATTAAGAAAATGCAAGGATGTTTTATGAAATGTTCGTAACGTTTTTGGAATTTATTTGACCGGTGCTGTATCCCTAATTTTAATACTCGGAGGGAATCCCTCATTGTAGGAGAACTCGGTAGTGTAAAATTTAACTCCCCTTCCCTAAAAAGGTGATTTTTAATTTTAAAAATTTCAACTTATGCTTTTGAATCCCAATGAATATTGTCTGGGATTTTCTTGGATTCATCAAGGGCAATATTATGTGAAAATTAGTATAAAGACTCACGTTTTATTATAATGATTTCATTAGGTTCTATTCATTCCATGTGATGAATACTGGTCTGATGAGATTTAAGACAATGAGAAAATGTTTGAGAGCCGGAAAGACTGGTTTTGTTCTTTTAATCTCCTTAGCTGGACGTTCCTTTCTTTATTCCAGGTTAATGCAAATACAATGATAACTCAGATAACAGAAACTCGGATCTTTCCGCTGGGGGAGGGGGGGTTATTTATCAAAATTGGGACGGAACTACACAGTTAATGCTGTAGAACTATAATCAATGGTGAAATTCTGATGTTCCATTTACTTGCAGCCGAACTGGTATAGTGGTTGGTGACACTGAGTGCCATACCGATGGGCCCGGGTTCAAATGCCGGAGATGGCAAGGATGTTTGTAAGCGCATAGTGTCTGCGTTGCACGGAAGCACTCCAAACACATAGTGAACTGAAAATCCTTTACGTAGGCTGATGGTAGAGGAAGAGAGACCATCTATGATACTACAAAAGTACTGCTCTGACCTTCTACCTGTACCTGTTCCACCCACTTTTACATATATAATAATTACTAATATGAGGTAGCTGTTCATAAAGAGTCCCACGGAAGCATTGTTTCGCCCAGAAAGTTAACACTGAAGTATTGTAAAGCAATGTAACTGAAATCGGAAACAATCACGTTCACCTCTACCTAAAAATTGCAAAGGACTTTATCAAAATATAGACGAAAGTGGTTAGTTTTGTTGTATAATCTTCGTGATTGCTTTTCAAGTTTTTATCCTAAAGATAAGGAAGAAGTTCATTGGCACATGAAAACAATGAATTTATTCCTCTTATTACAAAACATTTGCGAAAACTAACTAGAGAAGGTTTTCCGAGACTTTATTGATATAGTTTATTAACATTCAGGAAAACTCTAGAACAAATGAAAGCTATGTTATTCAAACATTTTGATGTACAAAATATATTACTGAATTCTAATCTTCTGAGATTTCATTATTTTTATAATTAACATATAGAAAAAGGACGTAGAACTTTGAAGTTACATCTGTTACTAGTGTATGAAACGGCGGCAGTCAATAGAATACTTAGGCGTTTTATAGAATGCGTGTGTGTGTGATTATGACAAAGCCTCGGGGGCTATCTGTCTAAGAGGAGGGATGCCTTCGTGGAGGACTTTCTAAGGAAACTGGCTCGTATACACGTTACACATGGGGAAAACCACGAAAACGCCCATGCAGCTAGCCCGTTCGCGGGATTCGAACCTCGGACCGAACTACCAGTGTTCAGCGGCTTTACCGCTCGGCCGCTGGTGGGCCCGTTTTATAGAATGCCTTTAGTATGAAATATGAGAATTATTATATACTTTCTTTAGGCATTGTATACAAAACCTAGGCATTCCATAAAATGGTAAATGCTATTTAGACAAATTATTAAAAACTTTCATGATAAAGCTATTTTTTAAAAGACATACATTCCTCAAAAATACAAATTTTATTTTGATAAAATAATGAAAAAGTGCCATTACAAAACGCTTACTCAAAATACGTAAAGACAAATAAAAATTGTACAAAACAAATTTTATACCTTTTCTTATCATGAAATGTATTCAGTTGTGGAATGAATGCATTAAATGTATGGATTATGTATGAATTTATTAAATGCATGTATATTTGAAGCGAATCGAAGATACATTTCATACTTTGTTTATTTGCCATTTGGCATTCTGCAGAATGTCTAGGAAATGTATGAAATACGAATCGTTTCATAGATTGCCAACCAGTCAGTTTCTGGTTGCCTAGGTTAATCAATGGAATGCCGGGTTTCATGCATTGCTAGTAACATTCCAGCTATTTTCCTGTCCTTCCTAATTTCAACTTACAATTTCCAACCAGAATGTGTTTTTAGAATCGCGTTTAATGCAAATGAGTAAGAGTGGAATTTAAGTCGAAGTTCCACTGACTTCGAAAGAGAGGCTCAGAGCTTCTGACTAGCGCGCGTTCGCCTTTTGGCTACGTCTCTCTCTAACCTATTACTACGCTGGGCCGTATTACAAGCCCTTGATAGCTTAGCTAGCTTATTCGATATTTAGGGGCCAACTACTTAGAATTTTGATAGTGTCGGGTATATCGTTTTTAGTTAAGCATTGTTAAGTCTTAGTTCTTATTATTTTGAGTTCGAGTATAACTGGATGCTTTGATGTATGCCCTGATAAAGGGGTTGAGTGCTTAACTCTTATTTTCAGAAATAAAAGGTAATTAACCCTTCTTGATTTTACGTCTCTGTTCCTGAACTAAAGCGATTATTCGCTTAGTTGTTCATTTTAGGTTTCTCCACACTTAGTTGCTAGATAAAAGGGTGGAACTCCATAGAGTATATAATTTCAGGGCACTGTATTAACACAATACTATATATAGCCACCAAATTCTGAACACACGTAACTGTTCATCTGGTACCCCGAATTTTATATTTCAAATTGAATTCGTTATTTAATTGATGTTTTTGTCTATAAAAATAAAGAAAAGTAACCGTATGCTTGTCTTTCATACAGATCTACAGTTTTATTCCAATCTTGAGGAAACTTGGCACATCTAATCTTCGAAACAAGAGGAATGTTACTGTCTACAAAACATTTCTCAAAAACCATTCCATAGGCTCCTCACTCAGGGCATATACATTAGAACCTTGTGCTCAAGTCACGCATTTTTAGGTTTTTGTCATCATTGTTGCGTTCTCGCTATTAGTTTTTATTAAAGCGGTTAGATAGCACCGTTTCCGTTTACGTTTTAGAATAGTCTAGAACTTTCCAGACAAATATAGAACCTTTAAAGTGCACTCTTTATATAGATGTAATTAATTTGTGCGAATTCAATGAACGTCTGATAAAAAAAATTCAACAATGCAAACATTTTGTGTTGTCACTCTACAAAACATAAGATATTTATGTTTCAAATGCCATCAGAAATATACAAGAACATAAAAACATATATATCGGCAATATAAAAGAAATGTGTTGCCACTAGGAAAAACGCAATATATTTATTTGCCTTTCGAATTTCATAAACAAACTGAGCAGTTTAAGGTAAATATGTTGCCATTCTCCGAATTAAAACATTTTTTTCTTCGTAACGGCAGTGCGTTGTGGTTCAGGGAAACATAAGATGTTTCATTTTTTTTTCAAATTTAAACTGTTCTTAATTAACAAACTAAGGGATTTAAAAAAAAATAAACACAAAAATACAGCACCCGTAATGCATCGAAGAATGGGGACGAACTCTGGCTCCACAACTTTCCTTATGTAACGATTGATCACTGCTGAGGATGCCCGCAGTCTGCCACTACATGGGATTAACAATTATACCCAATAGCTCCCCACGCCATGATGCCAGGCGTTTGTGCGGCATGACGCTGGATAACCCATTGTGAGAGCAGACGTTCCCCAACTGAAACGTCTTGCGCGTACTCTTCCATCATTATGCTCCAGACTATAGCTTGATCCATACGAGGAAATAATTTGTTGCTACAGGTACGCCACGCACTGTGTAGCCGTTCCCACTGAAGTCCCTTGTCGCTATCCTGCCTAGAGGACCATCGCACGCAGTTCATGCTGCGGCAGACGGCGACGAGCCATGGAGCTAGACAACACCTATAGCCATGCTCCAACGTTGTGTTAACACACGAGTGGATACTTTACGATCCGTCAGAGCTATGCGGATGAAGTGTCTGTCGTCCCGTGCCGTAGCGCTATTGCACGCCTCACTGCCAGAATTTCGCCTTGTTTGGTCCTCCTCTGTCCATTTCTTCTAAACACGCATCACTGTTGCGGCATCAAGTTGCGTGCAGGCTGCGAAGGCTCAATACGAAAGTCCAACTTCTTGCATACTAACGATGCGGCCTCGTCCGAACTCCGTTCTACGGAGGTTATCCTATGGCCTATGGCATTCTACGCTGTTGACGAGACATATTGACCGCTAATTAAACGTTCACTGCAGGCAGAGACGCAATATTACCGTCCTTTATATACACGGAACAAGCGGCCTGTTCTCATTCCGTGCATGCACAATCGCTTTGTAATTTTAATCATTTGCATGTCTTCACTTTACGTTTCCTGTAAGTTTCGTTCAATTTGCATAATTCCTTAATGGTGTTGAGATTTTCCCAAACTATATATACATATCAAAACTGGTAATTAATAGGCTAGCAGCAAGAACATACATCACAATTAGGACAAAAACAAAACAACTTAAAGTAACTTAATAAAAATTTTAAAAATATTATTAAAAAATATAATCGAACGTTGTTTCACCTTTTTCAAAAAACAATTGAAAAATTTTCAACAAATCCACCAAAGAATTATATTTGAATAATTATAAATTTACGAAATAAATCAAAAGTTCCAAATAAAAAACAAATTAATTAAAATTTTTTATAACGTACATAAAAAATGCAATAAACTAAAATCATTTAAATTTTGTTTTAATCTTTTAATAAATGTTCAAGATATAACTTACCCAACGTGACACAAAATAAGTCATATTGCACAAAATTTAAACAACATAAAATAAGAATTCTCAAAATTAGGAATTTGATAAACAATTTATCAAATTAGAAGCAATTAAATAAAGTAATGTTTTTCGAAACAATGAAATAATTGTTACAAATCAAAAGTAATCAGTTTTTTAAAGTCATATTTAAAGAAACGAAACTGAAAAAACGAATTTTGAAAAAATTAGGCTATTATGTCTAAATTGTGAAATACTTGGGCAGATTAAGGACGAGGAGAAACTGTAACAAAACTAAATTTCTGCCTAACGATCCACTGTTGAGTAAATTCCTCATTTATTAAGACATCGTGATAAGGAAAACAGCAATCTAGTTAATCAAAGAAGTAAAAATAGGTAAAACAGGGATCGAATCTTATGGGATCGGATCAGATTCTTTCACTGAAATGAATTGGTTCCATTTTATGACTCAAGTTCACTAACAAGAGACATGATGGAAAAGATCCGAAAAGACGGTTAATCATAAACGGTTAATGTGGATTGGAGTGAACAACGAAAAGAGTCGAATGAGCATTGCAATCGGGTCAGGTTAGACAGGTTGGAGCGAAAAGAATCGACCGAGGAATGGAATCGGAATAATCGACTCAATCAAACGTTAACCCTGAACTGATTTCTTTCAACTACAGTTTTTGAGATTTCTTAATCCTTTCTACATAAAGCAAACAATAAATTTTTGAATGAAAGTTTTTCGAAAAGTAAGGAAATGATAAGAATTAAAACACTTTAACATGGAATTATGAACATTCTTTTCTCCCCTAAAATGGAAAGGAATTTTCTTTGCGTGCTTTCTGTTTTCCGATGAACTCTAAAACTACTTCCTTCTTTCTGGGGGAATCAGAAGTAAGTTCACTCGGTAAAGTGAATCAGTTCGTAAACAAATATCAGATCTTAGTTCCTGGCAAGCTTCCAACAAAAGCTGCCCGTGAACTGTAAAATAGCCAAAATTTCATTTTTTGGAATCGGAGTAAACTCATTTAGTAAAGTGAATGAATAATCATTTAGTAAAGCTATTATGCTTTGAATCAGTTCCGAAGCGGATGTCAAACTCTGCAAAAAAGCAGTTTAGCAAAAAGCGGCATATCCAAAATAAAACCCAGTTCAGAAATGAATTGTTTTTAGTTCAGATTAAATCCCTATGGGTTGTCAAAATTTTCGGTTTCCAAATTTGAAGTTATTGATTATCATGTCATCAGCTTTGTCATATGACAGCGATTCATTTTGTAATTTAGAGGTTTATTATAAGGCGTTCTCACTTTTAGGACAGAAAGGGAAAATAACCAAATTAAAAATGAGAGTCACGAGGCTGTAATAGCCTCGTAATCTGCATGCAATAGTTGTAGAATTATCAACAATTTAAAAGTTATTTAAGCGATACTAAGCCTAACGAACCTGCCATATATTTGTATTTGAAACTCTTAGCAGAATGTATCGTTATAAAAGTTTGAAATAATGTTCACGGATTATAAAACAAACTTTTCGCTCTCTTTTAAAACAAGAATGATAAAACAGTGTTCATTGAGTAATTTTCTATTTTTTCTATGAAGTAAGAAAGTAAAAGCTGAAAAGCTTTAATTTAATCTATTAAAAATTATTTATATTTATTTAAAAAAAAAAAAACTCAAAACTGTCACTTAAAATTTCTGTTATTTAAATTTTATTTTTGTCTACATTATTTTTATTTTGTATGTATCTTTTTTTTTCATAGTAAAGTTATTATACTGAAAAATAATCATTGCTCTTTCTGTTTAAAAAATGCTCAATTTTATGCGGGCCCTGGTTAATGATAGCTTTGGATGGTAAGCACAGTGTTCTTTCAAGGCAGAAGAAAAGAGAATTTCTCGCAAAAAAAATTGCTTTTGAGTTTGCCACCTTAGCGCACTTACTGATGAATCAGAGGTATTCGTTTTTTCATTTTAGCTTCAAATAAAATGCTCGTTGTAAAACTATTATATCCAGCTTCCAACATTGAATATTCAAACCGATTTCATTTTCTGAACGAGGTTCAGTTACATTTCTTCATTTCATAATTTATTGCTTGTGTTTATTGACTAAAAACTTCATCATTAGTAACAGGTAACTGAGATTAAAATTAGAAAATAAAATACAATTAAATAACAGATTTTTATACAATAAGTTTTTATTTATAATGGATATGACAATTAATGCACTAAAAAGAGAAAAATAATTTATAATATAATTTAATGGAAATAATAGATTAAAAATTTTATTTACAAGTTCATGTTCTGTTTCATATCACAAATAGTTAAAGCGTGAGGCATCTATAAAAAATTTAAAAAAGATAATGGCTTATACATATAACAATGCAATTAAATTAATGGACTCCACTTTTAGGTACCCCACATTTTAATTATCCACGATATAAAATTGTAGATGAATTTTCGAAATAAAATTATTTAATCTATTATTCTCATTAGACTATACGATAAATTATTTTCTCCTTTTAGTGCATTAATTATCACATCCATATTAAATAAAAATTATTGTACAAAAGCCATCTTTTTAATTGCCTTTTAGTTCGGTATTTGATTTTCGATTTTATTATACTTCATCTATGAAGATCTTTTTATTTTAATAGGGAAGGCCTCATTTTTAATTTTATTATTTATTGAGTTACACACGTTAGATTGAAGGCTGTTAATTTGTGAAATTAAGGGCTTTTACAAAGAATCATATTGTTATGCGTATCATAAACATACATGTGTTTCGCAAACTCAAGTTACATTTCATGTAAATTGAGTACGAACATGAACTAGAGAAAAATATACCTGCTAATTACCCGTAAGTATGAAGCCTAGAGTTACCTGTAATTAGTACGTTTACTTAGTAATCAGAATGCTCTTTACTTATATTAGTAATTACACTATTTACTTATATTAATCGTAGGTAATTAATAACTTAATTATGATAAATCGTTGATATAAATTATTTAAACTACAATTTTCTTTCACTTTATGTCGAAGAACAATGAGTTGCCATTCATTTCTTCAATGCAAAAGGATCCATAATAATTACAAATCAGGAGCAATAAACTTACCATTTTCAAGATATTCTTGAATTATGTATAAAGATTCCTGCAATTTCTGTACATTTCTGCCGGCAATAGCCCATTTAACATCGGATGTGACTGCAGATCTTGCTAATTCTTCTATGACATAGCAGCCTGTATAACCGTTTGCGCCAAAAATTACAATATCGAACATTTTGTATTTGTAACACATACTAAAATTACGAAATTTTGATCATTCACGAAAAACTGGGTTCAAGAAATATTACTATTAGTAACCTATTTGTAGTACAATATCTCCGTTAGAAAAAGTCACACTGGCAATTCGGGGTAACTAAATCGAAGCACGATCATTCATAACTCTGCCAAAAGTATTTATGAAGGCGAACATAAAAGTGAGGAAAAGGGAAGAGATAATAACTTAAAAGGGAAAAAATTTGCATGATGTTTCGCTAAAGATAAGGAACTGTTCCCCTCGACTGCAATCAATATTTCATTTTAATCGCATAATACATTATCAACATTGTATTTGATTGCGGAAAATTTTTCAAGGTTTTATCCATGTAGATACATAACGTTGAAAAAATATTAAAGAGTACTTAAAAAAATATTTTTTGACAAGCGGCACTGTACAATTTAACGACAACACGACGACGGAATATAAGGCTTATGATATTTTTAATTGCGGGAAAACTGCATTATTTTATCGTGTTTTCCCGCTACAGAATATAACTTTTAAATGTGAAGCGGCGGAAAACCTTGTAAAGAAATTTTGGCTATTATGCTAAAAAATTTCATTAATAAGGAAGGCAAAAACACTATAAGTTAGAGCAGACATTCGGAAGAAGAGTCATTTTGACCACCTAGGGGCCGATGAAATTTTAAAGGGGGTCAATGATGATCAACCCGTCGATAGTCGAATATGCACGAGCAATTGATCGACGTAATCAAAATCCCGTTGGTTACCAAAACAGTCATTAATGAAATTGACAATTAATTGTTTATTGATATAAAATTGTACAATATAGTAAGGAATAAATCATAAAAAATAAATATAAGGGAAAATTGCACTAAATTTATTTCGTATCGTGAACGAAATTTGGTATGCAAAAACATCTTGATCGAACATGCAAATGATCAAAGTTTCAAGGCAAATGAACAGGAATTGCGATCATAGCGAGCATTTCTAATGCGCAATTCACAAAGTATAAAACCAGTAACAGAGGCGGAAAATTTATCTTTTCTTGTTGCTGCCATTATAATTCCATAAAGAAGCAACTAAAGATGCCATAACGACGATATCGAAGACCTCACAGACAACTAAACGACTCGGATCGTAGTCGCAATGTAGGGTTGCCTTAAGCTGGGTGGTCATACCGAGCAATAGGCCGCCACCTGCAGCATACAGACACTGCTGTGCAAGGATGTTGGCAGCAATGGTTGCTACAAGGAAAATGCAGACGAAATGAAGGCTCTGGAAGATCAAGGAGCACAAATGCGAGGCAAGATAGGATCGTTGTTTGCCAGGCCCTAACCGCCCCAACGGTATCATTGCCGACTATTCAACGCACTACAGACACGTCTATACCTCCCGTGGTACAGTCCATCTCACAGCACTGTCTGAGGGGGGATCACGCTCACAGATGCCTTTACGACGTTTGTCTTTGACTCCACAACATCGGCAGAGTCGTCTGGAGTAGTGCCGCAGCGATGAATCCCGCTTCACTCTTGAAGCGGTTGACCACCGTGTTCGTGTCTGGAGAGGACGGGGCCAGCGGTCCCAATCAGCCTTTGTTTTACAAAGGCATACAGCCATAACTCCTGGTGTGATGGTGTGAGGCGCTATTTTTTGACAGCAGGTCATCTTTAGTCATCCTCCGTACATATTTAACCGCTCAACGATATATTGATACCATCCTGCGGCCGGTTGCATTACCCTTCATGGCACGTCATTTTGGGGCCCTTTTTCGAACAAGATAATGCAAGGCCACACACCACATCTCTGGTCTATTTCCTTGTGGTTGATACTCTTCCGTGGCCAGCAAGGTCACCAGACCTTTCACCAATTGAGCATGTCTGGTATATGGTAGGCCGCCAGATTCGGGCACCACCAAATATCGCAGATTTGGAGCGACAACTGATGAATGCCTGACAGAATGTGCCGCAGGAAGACTTTAGGAACCTCTATCACTCCTCGCCTCCACGAAATCAAGCATGCATTGCCGCCAGGGGCGGTTTAACCAACTACTAATTTGAACACTCAGTGGGTGATTGTGAGCCATGAACAGGTACTATGACCTTGATTTTTCAATAATATTACTGTGTATGAGCTATACACATATACAATTTCATCAAAAATAACCACTTCCTTCACGGTGCTTCGATTTTTTCGCGAAAGTGTGTATTTGTACGATTATGTTGTAGTATGTTATACAGAAAAAATATAATGGGATCGATCCCCGCTTTAGAGATATCAAACCTTCGCCTTTCAATTTGAAAACGAATTTGAAAGGTTGACTGAGGAACTTGCTAATTTAAAGATAATTATTTATACTTTAACAGAGGTTTTATAATGAAAATCATAAAATATCTTTAAATTTCGATAACTGTGCAGCTTATACAAAGTTAGAGCGAAATCTCTTCATTTAAATTACTTTTCCTTCCCTTAAACTTGATTTCAATCGTCCAACTCTCAGATCAGAAGAGTACGAGCGGAGATTAACTAAATCTAAAAGTCTCACTTAGAAATTCATTTACGGTAAATGAAATTGTGAACGAAGCGTAGAAATCGGTGGAGCCGACAACGACTGCAAAGTGCTTCAAACGAAATTGAATTTGGCATTAATGAAACTGCAGCAAAAAAATATTCTGAAAGATGATAAACTGACTAATCTTTTGGATATTATTACTTGCGGTCTAAGAGACGAAAATATAGCAAATCACAAAGGAGGGTAAAACCTGGGGGGGGGGGAACATGAAATCCAGTTATTTTAAATTGCCTATGGGAGATTTTCAAGGCTAGTTTTTGAAGCAAAGTTATTTTTAGGTCTCATTGTAAAAGAGATATTGAAGTTGGTGTACAAAGTGACTTAATTCATTATTTCACTAAGTTATAAATGTAAACATGTAGTCTCTTCCTTAGTCTTAGTATCACTTAAATAACTGTTAAATTGTTTATAATTCTACAAATATTGCATGCAGATTAACTAAAGCATAAAAACCTTAACCAGAACATGAGAACAGCTTAAATCATATTTAAAGCAAAAAACACAATTAACCGACATATAAGACTGAAACTGAGCTCACCGAGCCGGGTAACAGAATAGGTATATATATATATATATATATTGTCGTGTGCGTATGGGTTCGTAATAGATTGAATAGACGCAGGTCCCATGATAATAAAATTTATTTTATCAAATGAAACACTTCAGAATTCTGGAACTTTCCATGGAAATACTCATATAGGTGTTCACAGTACCACAGAGTACAATCGTTAGTTACATTTCAAGCTACTAAGAACGCTAAACACAATGCGATGTAAAGCGCATCTAAAGAGCGAAGATATCTCAATACTCTGAAATCACGCTGAACTAACAGCTAACAACAACAGAAACTGAGGGACTGATACTTTCTCCGACCTTACCAAGTTTTCGTTCGGCCGCCGAGATTTCTCTAGTACCTTCTGGTTCTTGAAATTACTGAAAGGTATATGGTTGTAATCTGTAATCGTAATCGGCTGTGCATTACGATTACAGCTACATATGAAATCAATTACTATGAGGAACAGCCCGTAGTCTCGTGGACAGCACTGCGATAGTCTAAAAATAGAGATAATTTCCAGTCCTGTTGGCTTCTGGACACCACCAGCGAGAGGTTATTAAGGATGATTCAATTAAACCTTTCTACCATGCCATCTGACTGGGGATGTAAAGATGAGATCCCTTTGTCCACCTTTGGCCCTTATGCAAGCAGTTATTCGGCTTGGCATAGATTGATAGAGGTTGCAGATGTCCTCCTGAGGGATATCGTGCCAAATTCTGTCCAACTAGCGTGTTAGATCCTGAGCTGGTTGGAGGGCCCTGCCCATAATCCTCCAAATGTGCTTAATAGGAGAGGGATCCGGTGACCTTGCTGGCCAAGGTAACGTTCGGAAAGCAGTAAGGCAAGCAGTAGAAACATGTGCATTGTGTGGGCGGCATTATCTTGCTGAAATGTAAAACCAGGGTGGCGTGACATGAAGGGCAACACAACGGGCCATAGAGCCTTAGAACTTCGTCGACGTACTGCTGTGCTCTAAGGTTGCGAAGGATGGTCCTACTATGAAATGAAATGCACCCCAGACCATCACTCTTGGTTGTCGGCCTGTCTGCCGAAAGACAGTCAGGTTGGTATCACACTGCTGTCCGGGGTCTTCAGACTCGCCTTCGCTGGTCATCGCGGCTCAGTTAAAAGCGGGACTCATCACACCGCCTTCTTGACGCTGTGTGCGGCCATGGTTCGCCCATCGTCTAATAGTGGCATCGCTCCTGCTCAAATGTCGAGCTATTCGCCGATAAGACCAAGCGGTTTCTTTGAGTACCAACTACACGACCTCTCTCAAATTCTGACGTCTGCGCATATCGTTCGCCCTGTATGCGAGGCATAGTTACTATCTACCAGAGTACACGGAATGAAATTCGTGAAGAATTTATGACCTGGAATCGTAATTTTTCCTCTTAAATATTCTGCCAGTTGCGCAGATCAGATGCTCTGTAGCGACAACCGTTCATTCATTGGCAGCCAAAATGTAAAATTTTGCATTTTCCGTCGAAACCTGTATGCATATCACTTTGTGTCCAATTTGCTTTATATCTTCTCGGTGCGTCGTAGTGCGTATTTTTTTTTTTTTTTTTTTTTTTTTTTTTTTTTTTTTGTCTAAGAGTGTAACTGAAGCTTCGCAGCAACAATTTTGGACAAAATAAAAAGGTTGCTAAACAAATACCGCATAAGGCATTAAGGCTCGGGATTAAAGTTGTCTTTAGGATATTGTTATCAAACTGTCGAAGTTCTACCCATCTATATGCGAAAACCTGGAAAATATATCGCTTATTAGGACCAAAAATTCCATTAATATGATTAAAAACGAAAACAAATTTCCAGCTAAAGTTAAAATGCATCGTAAGAATTGTCGAGTTATAGAGAGTTCTCACCAAGCTAGGGGTTTATTCGCCATATATATTGTTTTCGATACACATTAAGCGGCGCATACTGAATATACGTGAATACATTAAGCGGCGCAGATTGTAATTTTTAAAAATTTTCGCATAAATTTCCCCATCCTCTCTTGTGCATCGTTTTTCCCTCTGGGGGTTATTTTAATGGTAAATTGTATTCCCCT